GCAATACCTCTACGGCGCGTAACGATCCATCGATCTCTGGCTTAACGATAGTAGCTGCCCCTCCTTCGCGAACGTCTGTCGATGCACGATTCCATCGATCGTTCTTACGATACTTACACGACTGCGACGGAGAGAGAGAGAAAGATAGACACGCGAGGACTCCGCTTTTCCCAAAAAACCTTGGCCGATATACAACACAACTGTGATATATAGCTGTGTGTGGCGTGGATCGTTGACTGGAGTACGGGGGAGGGAGGACACAACGAGACAATTGAAATCAAGGCGTACGATCGGGGAAGGAAGAAACAAATGATTGGTTTCTGATACGAGGAGATAGAAATTCGATTTGGAGGGATTTTGGAATGATGGAAGGCCGGGCGATGCTCGTGCGGGGAAGGTGCACGCGGATGCACGGTACGCGGCGATAGGTACTACGGTGCGCGACTAAATCGGTTGAGGAGGTACGCGGCTGCTTTATGAGCTCGCCGATCGGCCGTGCGCGAGGAATGCGCGAGGAATGCGCAACGAACGCCACTGCCGAGCCTCCCGGTATCGCGAATCACGATTGGTTCTAATCGGCCCGTGTCTTACCGATAATACCGTTGTCAGAACGTACTATTATATCTTTCTGCTCGGCGACAATTTGTCAGAATTATTTCAACCGCGATAACTCACGTCGCGATAATTCCGTCCGATCTCTTGCACATTCCCACGATCCACGTGCTGGATTCGATCAGTCAAGGACACGATAACAGCGATTGCTCGACGCGGAATTTAAAAGAAAAAAAAAAAAAAGAAATTGAGAGGCACAATTTGTTTAGATCTTAAGATGCAAGTAACGATAGATCTTGATGATTTTAATAATGATAATTTAAAACAAAAACAAAAACAAAAAAAAAGGGTGTTCGCAAATGTCGAATGAAAGACAATAATTTGCCCTTATATTCCGTATATTCTTACATCATCAAAAGGTATATCAAAACGTATTCGCGTTCAAGGCTTGTCGATCGAACAGGAAAAGAAGAATGCCATTGAAAAAAAAAGGGGGGGGGGGAACATGGCCGAGTGAAAAGAATCGCGAGAAGCGAAAGTTTAAGGGAAGAAGGCAGCAACAAAATGGATCGGACACAGAGGCGACAAATTGCGCGCGATGAGTCTCTGATTAAAAGCTGTGCATCTTGTTCGCGTGCGAGCTTCGCCGGTCAGCGTAGCTGCGCGTGTCTCGTTGCAACGCGTATTTCGATGTCGGCGGCGAAGTGGGGGTGTAACAAAGCGCACGTTGCCTTCGCGACGAAAAACCCGTGCTAAAAGGGGGTTGGACTAAAAAGACTGAACGAGGAAGGGAAGGCGAAGGGAGAGCAGAGTCAATTGCGCGTAAGAAGTCTTCGAGTTTAATAGCGATACGCCGCGACCGAATGAACGTTGCTCTAACGACAATCATTCTATTGGCTATTTTTAGCTGGAAATAGGTCGGAGTGGAGGGCTGGTGAGTATCGAGACGACGATGACGACAACGATGACAACCAGAAAGGAGCGGAAAGCGACGTGCAGCACCGCTTTTTTAAAATTACCAGGGCAACAATACGCGTGCGTGCGTGCGTGCGTG